CCTCCTCCTCCTCCTCTAACTTGTCGTGTCGTTGTCTGTTGCAGCGCCGACGTCCGCCATCGTGGGTGGGTTGGAGATGTCCCTGCTGGACGGGCGCGCCTCCCCGGCGGGCCAGGGCCTCCAGCAGCAGCAGCAGCCGCAGCAGCAGCAGGGCGGCCGGCCGACCACGGCGCGCCTGGAGCGCGTGTACAGCAGCAGCGCCAAGCAGGCCGCCTACAAGGCCGGGGGCGCGGCCAGGCCGGCCAGCGAGTCGTACGCGCGCACCGGCACCCGCGTCCACCTCACGCCCGCCGGCACGCCGTCCGAGAACCCCGCGCCCTGCGCCGTCGCCGGCCGCCACTTTCTGCACGGACAACAGGTGAGCTGGCTGGACGGGATGGGTTCTTCACTAGAAAACTCAAGCAAACACCATATATCTTTCTGTTGTTGCTTGTTTTTTTATGATTTTCTGATTTCAAAACAAAAATGATTTTTTTTTCTGTTTCCATATGTTTTTTTACTTTTATGGAGGGTGTACAGTTAAGAGTAAAGGAGTGATGTGATAGTATAAGAGCGGACGGATTTGCGACAGCTTTGCTGTGGCAATCATTTCTTGGCTCGGACAAGAATTTATTTGGTCACCACCTGGGACTTTCGATTGCGGATGTATCCTGAAAAATCAGCGAGTTTGTTTGGTTCTGACGACGGATCTTTGCCGCTCTTCCGCAACAGCTGCACAGCCCGCGTCGCATGCAGATTAGCTCGCAGACTGATGGTAATCCCGTGTGTTTGCTCTGGCAGGGCGCTGGCATCCGGCCGGCCGGCCGGCTGGTGGCTGGTGGCTGCAGCCAAATCATTTCTGGATATCGCGCGCGCAGTTTGTTTGTTTTTGTTTCATCGCTGTTGTTGACGTTGTTGTTGTTGTTGTTGGTACTGGTGGACGTGGAGAGAAACTCTATGCTGCTGCTGCTTCGCGCGGGGAGGGCTGGCTGGCTTGGCTAACGGAAGAGCGAGAGAGCCAGTGGGAGGGAGAGAGAGGGGCGATGGAAGACGGGAGGAGAAGGGGTGGAAGGAGGGAGAGAAGAAGGGAGGTAGGGACCTCCAGCAGAGTTCAGTCCCCAGCCATGGGCAGCGCCGGGCAGCTAGCCCAGTGAAATGGGTGCTCTCCCAGGCTCGGCTCGGCTCGTCTCGGGCTCGGCCCGGCTCGGCTCGGCCCGCTCTGGTTTGTATGCGCGGCCTTTTGTTTCGCAGCCCGGAACGACTTTCCTTCCGCCATCAGGGCCCAGCAGCAGCAGCAACGGCGCCGCGCTGGAAAAACGGATCGAGGTCTTAAATGAAATCTCGCCTCGGCCGAGCAGCGCCGGACGCGCTGGAAAAATGTTGCAGCGCCTCTGGGGCTTGCGCGCGGTTGGAACGGAGGGGAAAGGGAGGGTGAGAGGGGATATCGGCTCCCGCGGCGGGATTTTCAAACAAAGTTTGCGCGAGGCTTGCCCCGGTCTCCGTGTGTGAGGATGTGGCGGGGATGGGGCTTGCTGCTGGAATCAATGACGACGGCGCTGCTGCTGGAGCCGCCGCTCGGGCGGCGCGCCGAGAATGGAACAGTCTCGCTGATGCACACTGCAAAGGGAACTACTTCGAGGGGGAACCCTCGTGACCCCTGCACTCACTCACTTCTGCCCTCTCTTACATGCGCTCTTCCTACTCCACAGTCTCCACCCCCCCCCCCTTTCTCCCTTTTGTCCTCGGAATATCCCCTCTAATTTTTTATTCCTTGTCCTAAGCCCAATCCTCTCGCCACCCCCCACCCCGCCCTCGTTTCCTGCCCCATTCTTATCCTTTGCCCCGCTCTCGCACTCCTTCTCTCTCTCTCTCTCTCTCTCTCTCTCTCTCTCTCTCTCTCTCT